TTCTCATAATGATAAAAATATTTTGCTCTCTTGAACAGTTGCTGTAGCATTAGCCGTGCCTAACTTGGAGCCCTTCATTTCCCTCGTCGGCGCAATATTCTTCTCCTTCCTGGGAATATCCATCCCAGCAATAGTCGAAACAATTTCCTGCTGGGAGAACAATCTCGGAACCTTCTACTGGAGATTGATCAAGAACATATTCCTTCTTGCATTTTCCATCTTCGCTCTCTTCACCGGTACCTGGGTGTCTCTCGCTGAAATTATTGCAACCTACTAATTAAAAACCTGCAGCATAAATTCTATTCGCATTACTTGAGTGACGTGGAAGCCACCAATTTGATGATTTCTCTGGATTCCCACAAGTGGAATCTCAGGAAAAAATGCCCTCCCGAGCCGTTGAAAATCTTGCATTCTACTACTATTCATCGATAAATCGTCGACAGCTTTTCTGAGGATGATCTTACTGGAATGCCGCACCAGGTCGATATCGTGGGTAAGTGATCTGATAATACGCTTGGTTACCAATCAGCCAGACCCTTATCAGCAGCCAAATCCCCATGAAAAGAGGTAGCCAACTGAGAGACGAAGCGATGTTGAGAAGTCGATGAGAGTTTATCACCACTTCCATCTGCTCCATCGTGGAAACACTGGACTGGAAACAATGGAAATTAATTCAGATTGTTATGATGGCAGAAGACAAGATGGAATCTTATGGCTGAGAATTTTTCATTCGTTCATCATTGACGTGTTCATGAATAGATCGATCTTCACTGTTTTCTAAACAAGATGTATTATGTTAACTCAATGCGAGGCAAAACTACGGTAATTGTGATTTCATGTGTGTGAGGAATGCCGGATGAATGATTTCGTCTCGCAATGAGATGAGCTAAGGTGTGAGGAATCCAAAAAATTCTATAAGGATTTGGTTTACATCAGATATCACATCCCTTCGTCGGAAAATTAGAGCCAAAAGGGCGTGTAACCACGAGCCGGTGGAGTAGTGGATTTTAACCATTCAAATCATTCTCAATCATCTAATCATAACGTTTTGAGATTTATTTTCTTGTTAATTCGATATTTGTTGCGTTAAATTTCAGTTAAATTTCGGACTGAACAATCGGGTATACATTTTCATAAGCAAAGATAAATCTTCCACGTGGAATGAATTTTATATTCATTATATTATAGTTCTTAGTCCGCCTTTCCAATTTTGGGTCTTATCGATTAGAACGATTAAAATTGCTTAGCTCTTCTAATTTAAAGAATTCTTTAATGGGACTCAAACATGAGTGTAATATGTGCTCTGAACTCATTTTTCGGGTACACTCGTAGTCTTTTAATATTTGCATGATCTGTTTAACGAAAAACATTAAAAATTTGTTTTCAAGATCGTCCATACCGACTTGTGTATGGAAATAGAAGAAATGATACGAAGAAAATTATGTTTAGATGATTCAGAATGAGAGAACTATGTGCAAATACTTTTAAATCATTAGAAA